TTTTAGCAGTCCATGGTACTTTCAGCATTCTTTGCCAACACCACAACTCAAAAGCATCAACTCTTCTTTGGTCTTCCTTATTCATTGTTCAGCTCTCACATGCATATGAGATGACTGAAAACACTACGGCTAGGGTCAGGTGCATCTTAGTCTTCAAGGAGACATCTTTGCCCTTCAGCACTTAAAAGAGGCCTTTTGCAACAGATTTACCCAATGGAGTATGTCTTTTGATGTCTTGACTGCTGCTTCCATTGGCGTTGATTGTAGAGCCAAGCAATATGAGATCTTTGACAACTTCAATCTTTTCTCCATCTATTGTGATGCTGCTTATTGGTCCAGTAGGGCTTTGTCCTCAGCTAACTTCACGACCACTTTCTTTTCTCATAGGTTACCTCATCCAGTCTTGTAGCTTTAAATACATTAATTACTTCCAAATTTGTATCTTAGACTATACTTCTCCCATGTGTGTCACATTCATAATTATTGAGCTATCTACTTTGACATCTCCACTAGATTTTTAATAGTTTCCCACATTTAACACAATTAACCTAAAATAATGAGTCCCTTCTTCCAAATCCAATTCCTCTTCCTGCATTCTCTCATGCCACTATCATCCACTCAGTAGCTTAAACACAAAGCTCAGGAAACATCATTCATTCTTCTCTTTGCCTAACCTCCCAATTTTGATTCATCAACAATTCTAGTGATTACACCTCCAGAAATATCATGAATCTATCACAAACAACAAGCCCATCACATCTATCTTGCCTAGACAACTTGAACAGTTCATCAAGCTCTATCCTTGCCTTTTCTCTATACCATTATCTACACAGCAACAAAAGAGATCTTCTTAAAACCAAATTGGAGTCCTGTTTAAATCCTTGAATGGTTTCTTATTGCACAGAGAATGAAATCTTCGCGTAACTTACCTCAGTTCACCATTCACACACACACTGCCGTCGAGTCAGACCCGACTCATAGCGACCCCTCCTTGGGTTTCCGAGGCAGTATCACTACGCAAGCAGATTGCCCAACCTTCCTTCCGAGGAGTGGTTGGTGGGTTTGAACCTCCAGCCTTCTGGTTAGCAGTCAAATGCCTAAGGCACTACCCACCAGAGCTCCCAGTTCATCATTCAGGCCTCAGTTTACATGTCACCTCCTCAGGGAAGTTTAACCTAACCACTGATCTGAAATAGTCCCATGAATCTCCATTGTTCCCCCTCTCAGCCTTTATTTATTTTTCTTCATATAGTACATATCATTATTTTTAATTATTTCCTTCATTTGGTTGTGTACTTTTTTTTTCACTAAAAAGTAAATATTGTTAGAGACAGATCATGTCTATAATATTCAAAAGGTTCCCAGTTTCTAGCCCAATAAATACTTGTTGAATAAATTTTGAAAACAAAAAGAAATTAGATTTACAAACTTAATAAAAGTGAGTTTTATCATATTCATTAATTTATCATAGGAATCACAGTGTTTTGCCTCATATGCATGCAAAAGCTGGACGATGAATGTAAGGAAAACTAAAAAAAAGTTGATGGCTTTGAATTAGGTTTTGGTGCATATATTCCATGGACTGCCAGAAGAATGAACAAATCTGTCTTGGGGGAAGCACAGTAGGAATGCTTCTTAGAAGAGAGGATGGAGAGCTTTCATCTCATATACTTTGGACATGTTATCAGGAGGGAAAAGTCCCTGAAGAAGGACAACATGTCTTGGTAAAGTAGACGATCAACAAAAAAGAGGAAAACCCTCACAAAGATGGATTGACACAGTAGCTGCAACAATGGGCTGGATATAGCAACGTTTGTGAGGATGGAGGGGGACCAAGCTCTGATTCATTCTGTTTGTTATACACAAGCAATGACTCAATGGCCCCTACTACCAATAACAAAATCATAGGGAGATCATATCATATTGAAATTCAAAATCAGAAAATTGAAATTTAGTAGCATGGATCTATTTTTAGGTCACTTCTTCATTCACAAGCACAGTGCATACAAAATAGCAATATTATAGCTGTTAAATGTGGAAACAAAATGAAAGAAACAAACCTTGCTTTGTCTTTAGAACAATTTTTTTGTTTTTCCTAGCAGTTTGGTGAAACTGCTGTTCTGATTTGGTTGTTTAAATGGAACTGTACAATTCACTGTTCCCTAGTGTTTCCAAGGAAGTATTACAGAGAGACTGATTTTAAAAACTCACCTTAAATATGTACTATAACAAAAATGGAGTATCAAATGGAGGTTTATAGAAATCCCAATTATAATGTAATTCCTTGTGTCTTATACAAACAATGACAAGAAACAACTCATCTAATTTTCTTCTTCATAAAGATAATGTCAACTAGCAATGTTGAGAATTATGGGGGTTAGTTATGCATATATCTAAATATGCATATGTCTAAAACATCATTTTAGATATGTGCATATTTGAGATATACTGTTAAAAATCTCTTTGACATAAAACACAGAGATTGATTTTAAGTACCTTGGACATTTAACTTAATTTTGCCCAAGGCTGTACCAGCTGGGTTCTGAGCCACACACATGTAAGTGCCAGCATCCTCTCTGATCGCTCTTGAGATCTGCAAGCCGCCATTTGGAAGAACTGCGTGGTTTTTGCCTATACAGCAGATATTAAAGCAGAGGGGAAAACACATTTTTATTTTCATTTAAAAAAATAGTCATATGAACTTCTGAATTCTAAGACAATGAATTTGCCATAATTTTCTTGGTAGAAACAGTGATAGGTACCTGAAGTAATAACATTGATGCCTTCTTTTTGCCAAGTAATGAAAGGACTGGGTGTCCCTGTTGCTTCACATGGTAATAAAATGGGATTGTTTAGAATGACATCAAGTTCAGTTGGCTGAGGCTGAATGACTGGAGGTTCTATAAAAATCAATGAATAGAAATAAATAATAGCACCAGTTAATGGCAGAAATATGTATTGTAACCATAAGATTAAACATGGCCAAATCTGTAAATCCAAAATATTAGTCATATGATTATTCAAAAGAAAAGTAAACCTTCATAATATTATATACTTTAAAGTCATCATTATAACCAGTTTCTATTATAATACAAAAAGACTAGAAACAGGAAAGAAGGAAAATACTTTTGAGGTTCTGTGTGAATTAGCTTTTATTGCCTTTTGTATGCTATAGAAGAATATCTTCCAAATGTTCATATCCCTGAGATATTACAGTGACTCTTAGCTCTAGACAGTACTGTCTTTTAAGAATTACAAACAACTTAAAGGAAGAAAGAAATGGCAAGTTTTTAATGAGTAAATAACCTTCCATACCTTGGACGTGAAGAGTCACATGTCTATGTGCAGAACCAGCTGCATTCCTGGCAATACAAGTGTACTTTCCAGCATGGTCCAATTGGGTGGCAAATATTTCAATTGTTCCTAAGAAGAAAAAAGTTAAAAAATTACAATACATGTGCATCATTGTTTTTCTGGTTTGGCAGACTGTGTCTGTTTCATTCTTGTGTTTTCTGCACCTAGCAGAAAACCTGCTTGGCTTATGTTTATATCTGTATCCACTAAAGCACAGTACTTTAAAAACATTATTATTAACAGCTTTATTAAGGCATGCTTTACATACCGTAACATTAATCAATTTAAATGTACAATTCAATGATTTTTAGTATTCTTACAGTGCTGCACAACTATCATCACAATCAAATTTTAGAACATTTTTGTCATCCCAAATAGAAACCTCATGCTAATTTAGTCATTCCCTGGTACCATTTCAAATCCCTGACAACTACTCATCCCCTTTCTATCTCTACAGATTTTCCTTTTATGGACAGTTCATACAAAGATAATCATACAGCATGTGGTATTTTGTGTGTCACTTCTTTCACTAGGAGCATAATGTTTTTGAAGTATGTCAAAATACACGTGTCAGTATTCTGCACTTTTTTATTGTCAAATAGAATTCCTTTGTAAGGATTTGTCATATTTTGTGTATCCATTGACCAGTTGATAAACATTTGTTTCCACTTTTTGACAGTTGTGAACAGTGCTGCCATAAATGTTCACAGACAAGACTGTGTGGACATACGTGTTCATTTATTTTGGGCAGATATCTGGGAATAGAGTTGCTGGGTCATATGGTAACCCTTTATATTCTTTTGAGAAAGTTCCAAAGCATTTTCCTAGCTCAGTACTTTGTACTGGAAGATGGTTAATATGTATTTTAAAATATGAATTGTTAGCAGACTATACAGGTTTCTGAAATAGCCAACATACTTTGGCTTTTAAGCCAAATTGGATCCTGGGTAATAATCTTCTATTTTTTTTTTCTTTCTATTGAAAAAATATGCAAACTATCTTAGAATAATATGTGTACACCCACTCCTCACTTATTGACATGGTAGGTTCCAGTGAGCAGGTTGTTACATGAAAATCAGCATTTATGCAAAAAAGGATGACTGCATCAGATCACAAAATGGAGAAGGACTAACGCATTATATAAGTGTCAAATCACATCATTACATGCCAGCCAAATTATGTCATCATATAACTGTCAAATCATATCATTACACAACCACCAAATTACATTACCAAGTAATTGAGAATCATGGTTCAGCCAAGCTGACACATAACCTTAACCATCACAGACAGCATTACTCTTGTCTCACACCTTGGCACTGGTTACTGATAGATATATGTCATTAATGTGCAAAGTAGTTGGATAGTAGATTTTTTTACTATTGTCATAAAAGCAAAATATTGGATAACAAGACAGTGAATAAGTGAGGAGCCTATGTACATCCTTAAAGTCCCACAATATTAGTTGCTATTTTAGTTTATCTGTGATATACCTCCCGATTACAGTGTAAGTTTCAGAAACTCCAATGTGAATCACCTATACATTTAAGTGAATTTTTTCTCCTCAATACTAAAACTTCAAATTGTATAAATGATGATTACTAAAATTCTAAAAAATTACCCATCATAGCACTTATTACCTAGTTTTATCTGATAAATTATACAGACCTTGCAAGCAAAATTCTCAGTAAGTAGCATGTTTTAAACCCAACCCAAAACCAAACTCACTGCCGTTGAGTTGGAGCCAACTCATAGCGCTCCCCCCTTGGGTTTCTGAGGTAGTATCACTATGGAAGTAGATTGCCCAATCTTCCTTCCAAGGAGTGGCTGGTGGGTTTGAACTACCAGTCTTTTGGTTAGCAGTCAAATGCCTTAGGCACTACACTACCAGAGAATGAATGGATACTCTTATTTGACAAAAGGAAGCAATGTGGTATATTCACAGGCAACCAGTGAATTTGTAAAGCTTTAGGTTTAGCAAACATGCACAGAAAATGCCAGTTATCATGCTTACTGTATTCAGATCAGTCTTGTTAGTTGTTGTCGAGTTGATTCCAACTCATGGTATCCTTATATAGAACAGAACAAAATGTTGCCCAGTCTTGCTTTGAGTCCACTGTTATAGCTATTGTGTCATTCCATCATTGTTTCCCTCATTTTGATGGTGCTCTACATTACCAAACATGATGTCCTTTTCCAGCAATTAGTCTTTCTTGATGATGTGTTCAAAGCAAGTGAGATAAAGTCTCACCATCCTCAGTTCTAAAGAACAGTTTGGTTACATTTCTTCTAAGACTAATTCATTTGTTCTTTTGGCAGCCCAGGGTAAATTCAGTATTTCTTTGCCAACACCACATTTTGAGTGCATCAATTTTTATTTGGTTTCCTTTTTCACTATCCAACTTTCACATTCATATGAGGCAGTTGAAAAGACCATGGGTTGGATCAGATGCACTTTAGTCATCAAAATAGCATCTGTCTTTTAAAACTTAGAGGTTTCTTGCAGCAGATTTTTCCAACGCAATCTGTCAATTGATTAGCTGACTGATGCTTTCATGGACATTGATTGCTGATCCAAGTGGAATGAAATCCTTGACAAAGTCAATATTTTCTCCATTTATCATGATGTTGCTTATTAGTCCAATTATGAGGATTTTTTTTTTTTCCATGTCCAGGAATAATGCATCCTGAAGGTTATGGTTTTTCACCTTCATCAATAAGGGCTTCAAGTCATCTTCATTTTCAACAGGTAAGATGTGTTATCTGCATATCACAGGTTGTTAATGAGTCTTCCTTTGTTCTTTTTAAATGACTGTAGCTTGATCCATTTACAGGTTCTGCATGAGCACAATTAAGTGTTTTGGAATTCTCATTTTTCACAATGTTATCAGTTTTAGATTTTGTTAAATATTATCCAAAATCAATCTTAAATATTATTTTCTTGTTTCCAAGACTGTTTTTTAATATTTTTCTTTTTCCTTTTCCTCACTCCTCTTCCTACTCAATGCATTTTTTTTTTTTTTTTCCCAGATGTCCGAGTCCAGGAATGTAAACGTATTTTTTATTTTGGTGCAACAAAAGGCCTGGTAAGGCCACCCATATATAATCAATTAAACTGGTAGATGTTTAGTCACTGAACTTGGTCTTACCTGAGGGCAGAATTCTATAGCCGTCTCCCCTGGGAAGCAGTTTTATACCATTTCTGGTCCAATGAATTGAGGGAAATGGAACCCCTGAAGCAGTGCAGCTAATTACTGTTGGGGTGTGCTTGGTTACTAGGAAGTCTGTAAGCTCATCAGCTATGGAAGGTGGAACTAAAATAACAATAACAACAAAAAGAAAGATAACTATACACATTTCCAAACTTTACAGATTTCAAAAGCCTTGCCATAAAGCTTTCTCTCCTCTGATTGTAAATGTAACCAGAGCCTGTCGAGTCTATTCTGACTCATGGTGATCCCACGTGTGTCAGAGCTGAACTGTGCTCCATAAGGTTTTCAATGACTGGTTTTTTTGAAGGTAGACCCCCAGGCTTTTCTTCCCAGGTGCTTCTAGATGGACTCAGACCTCCAACCTTCTGATTAGTAGTCAAGCCTGGTAACCATTTGCACCACCCAGAGACTCCATGTAAATGTTAGGTAAGTGGAAAAGGAAGCTCTCTTGAGAAGCATAGGAAGGATGAAGTATATCATTATAATAACTTTTAATTCATATTCTAAACCAGTTCTACCTTGTACAGTGAGATCCATGGTTTTCTTATCCTCTCCGGCATCATTTGTCACAGTGCACTCATAGGTTGCAGTGTCATCCACAGAAGGGGAAATAATTATTAGTGAACCTGAAGAAAGAAGTCTAGGAGAGAGATTTCAAAGAAATGAGGTACTATATACCAAGTTTCATTTATTCAGTTGCTTCAACATGGTACTTCAAAATATGTATCATTTCTCTAATACTAATAAAAGTTTACGTTTATATGGTAATGTGTTAATAGAGCCTCAACCTTGACATTTAAGGAAGCAGTTGGGTAGAATGGATGAAGGGTTGTCTGAAGAGGGAATCTTGTATTTTCTGAATGATTATGACATTGATGACAGCCACTATTTATTAGCATTGAATAAATTCCTGGCACCATGATAAATGCTTTACATAAATTATCTCTAAATTTTACAATAACTCTGTAGGTTGATATTATGATTATATCAATTTATGGGAACTATAAAGATGGGAAGAATAAAACTCAGACTGGTTAACTAACTTATTTATTGCCACACAGCTAACAATAAGTAGCCACATTGGTATTTAACTATAGATCTGTCTGTCTAGTCTTTTCAACTACAGGTCTGTTGGTCATGTCTCCTTACATATGATGGCTAACTTCAAGGTTCATACATCAACAAATGATGTATGGAGGTCATACATAAATAAATCTTTTCTTTCATCTCTAATCAGTTGAAAGCCAAAACAATCTGGATCATTGAAAATGTTTAGGTGATTTAGTAAGTGTACACACATGATTTAAAGTTACTCTAAATAAAAAGATCTGTTTTCTTACTTCAAACTATGAACTGATTAAATAACTAGAAATGTTTTTATTTAAACATATTTGACATGGTTTTTAACTCAAAGGCATTATACATTTCTGCATAGTATATGCCTTTAAATCACTAAACCCCCAATCCAAAAGATAAAGAGGGTGAGAAGGAGAGAGAACTAATAGGGGTTCAAGTGAAATATTGCTAGTTTCATGTTTGCTGATGTATCAGAATTGATTTTTGTCAAGGTAGATCTATGAGAGCATTTGTTTTCAGTCCTATGGAAAATCCTTTGACAGAATAACTATTAATTCAGATATAAGAAATTATGTTCACCTAGGAGCTCTGGTAGCATAGTGCCTAAGGCACTTGACTGCTAACTAGAAAACTGGTGGTTCAAACCCACCAGCCACTCCTTGGAAGGAAGGGCAATCTACTTCCGTAGTGATACTGCCTCAGAAACCCAAGGAGGGGTCGCTACGAGTCGGGGTTGACTTGATGGCAGATGACAACAACATAGCATCAGAAAGGAGCCCTGGTGGCACAGTGGTTAAGTGCTCTGCTGCTAACCAAAAGGTTGGTGGTTTGAACCCACCAGCCACTTCATGGGAGAAAAATGAGGCTGTCTGCTTCTGTAAAGATTTATTGCCTTGGACACCTGATGGGGCAGTTCTACTCAGTCCTGTAGGGTCACTATGAGTCTGAATTAACTTGACAGCAATAGGAAACTACTAGTGATTTAAGGGGTAACTTTTGAAAACATATATTACCATATTATAAGGTATGGTAGTAAATAAGGAGGAATGTAAAACATTGGAAAAATGATGTTTTTCTTCCCCACACATGCTGCCACAGAGTTAAATTACATATCAAGGTATCAAAAGTGATTTTTTACATTTACAATTAAAGATTCTACTTATTTTTATAGAGTAAGTTGTTTTTATACCACAATTTTTTCTTAATCCATTGTTTTTATAAAAATTCATAAAACCAACTCTGACTCATAGCAACCCTACAGTTCTGGTGGTAGAGTGGTTAAGTTATTTGGCTGGTAAGCAAAAGTTTGGTGGTTTGCACCTACCAGCTGGCCGTGGGAGAAAGGTGAGGCAGTACGCTTCCATAAAGATTTACAACCTTGGAAACCTTATTATGGCAGTTCTACTCTGTCCTACAGGATCACTATTAGTCAGTTAAAAATTCATAAGGCACTAAAAAAATAAAGCAGGATAGAAATCTACTCTCCTGAGCTTATCAGAGGCCTTTGGTATGTAAAAGTTACACTTATAATTCAGAAAAAAAGATTTAGGTTTAAAAGCAAATTCATGTTAAAAAAATGTATACTTTCTACATACTACTTAAATCTTCATAATGTTTATATTTGCTGCCACAATCAATAGTTAAAATGTTGATTCTTATAAAAATATTTTTCTAAATAGCAAGGTGGGATTTTTAAATGAAATAATTTCTTACCTGTATGAATTCTGATTTTGATCTACACTAAGAAGATGGCCATTCTTCCTCCAAATGACTGATGGCTTTGGTATTCCAGCAGCCTCACAAGCCAGAGTAGTTTGAACATTTACTGTTACAGTTATGTTGGTAGGACCCGGAGCAATAGATGGAGGAACTAAAACAGTGTCATCAAAGAAGAAGAAAATACATTCAGCAAACAGTGTGCCATTTGAAATATTTCTGCAACAGTGGAATTAATCATTGGCCTCATAGTTATGAATACAATAAGATTCAGTGATACTGCTGTGATGGTGCTAACCCTGCTGGGGAGAAAACATGGCCCTTTATGTTCATAACATAATGTAATGCATTTAACTTGCCCCAAGGGTCAAGGTTACTACTTTTGGCTATTTGACCCAATGTTTTATTATATTTATAAATCTATTTATAAATATATATATATATTTTATAAATACAAATATATTTATAAAATCATTTATAGAAGTATATTTACCATGGACCTGTAAATCTATTCGCCTGCGGTCTGTTCCTGCAGCATTGGTAGCCATACACAAATACCGTCCAGCATCAGTGACATGTGCTGACTGGATAAGAAGGAATCCATTTTCCAAGATGGTATATCTATAAGAAAGATCAGAAGTGATGTTCCCTGAATCAGCCTTATCTGACTTCTCTTTTTGATAGAAGGCATTTTTAAAGACTTAGTCAAATATATTTGTAGTCCTTTTCCTGTTTTAGATGAAAAATATTTGCTAAATTTTTGGTGGAAGAAAAGAATATGATGCAAACGTGTATAGAAAATGAGCTTGTGGTATTGGATGGATTACAGTCATTGTGTTTTTGACATGAGCTTTAGGAATCATAATGAAATTCTCCATTTTGATTCTCATGTTAAGATAAAGAGACTAGGAAATTATAAATATAATAAGATCAAAATAATGCACTGGGAAAAGATTTAAGGATTTGTCTTTCAGTTCTTACAGTATTTTTCATCCTTTTCCAGAATTGTTACCTTGCAAGATTCCCAGCTAGAATAACTCCATCCTTTCTCCACGTTATCCTTGGGGCTGGCACACCTTCAGCGAGGCATTCCAATGTAATTGATTTATTCAAGTGGATGACAAGATTCTGGGGGCCACCCTTTATGTTTGGAGGAACTGCACATGAGAGACAAGGAGAAAATTCAGTTATACGAATAACATAGCCTACACTAAGACCTTGAAGAGGAAGGTAAGACAAGATTGAGCTTTGAGTCACATGTAGAGCTTTGTCTGCAGCTAATTTTGGTGGTGGTTGTTGTTGTTGTTATGTGTCGTCGAGTCAAACCTGACTCATAGCGACCCCTCCTTGGGTTTCCGAGGCAGTATCACTACGGAAGTAGGATTGCCTAACCTTCCTTCCGAGGAGTGGCTGGTGGGTTTGAACCACCAGCCCTCTGGTTAGCAGGCAAGTGTCTTATCCACTATGCTACCAGAGCTCCCAATTTTGGTTAGTAGAAATAAAATTGGCATTTAAATCTTAAAGTCTTACAGAAGATATCTTGTGTTTAAAAATAAAGCATTGATGGGGGAGGAGGATTTTAAATCCCTGATATGGTGTGCAAAATTTGGCTTTCTGTGAGGGAGGCTTCAGTGAAAATCAGCTCTGGCCTGATGTAAATTAAAGATGATATTTTTTATTCCTCTTTGGCCAAATAATGGTCAGCAAATGTTAACACTGGAAAAATTTCACTTTAAATAAAGAACAGAAAGTGGTCTGCTTTAATGAAATGCACATCTGTGATTAATCATGCAAGTCTCAGAGCATTTATTTTATTAAACATTGAGTTCATAGGGGAATAGAAAACCTGCATTTGAATTTTAGTATTAGAGGTACAAGTTGTGTGGATCACCCACTAGTCTGTACAATCTCATACATTAAAAATACAAAAGGAGTTCTCTTAGGGAAAAGTTCATATTATATTCCTGAATTTTGACAAATTTTACTATTCAGATTTTATCTTTAACAAAATTAGAGTTAGTCTAATGGTAGTCTCAGTCTTGCACATATATAAACGTATGCCACCATCAATAATAGTGAACTAAATTATGAACCACTTGTTATCCAGGGATTTAATGCATCAGTTGTTTCAATGACTCTGATGTGAATAACACAAAACATCAGGATGTATTAATAACAATCAGTCATATATTATTACCTATGAAAAAGTCATGTATCTTTAATTATGTTCTTTGAAATTGAATTAATTTAAAATATAGGTCTAATACAAATTGGACATCTTACTGTGTGTGTGTGTGTTTCAAAGAAAAAGATAATCACATGGATTCATTTAGCATGTTCATAGAAAGATAAAAGAAAGAATAATTCTTTGAATGCTCTTGGTTCAATTTTTTAATTGTAAAGCAATTATAATTTTTCTTACCATTTACAGTGAGAATAAATTCTCTTGTAGTCTCTCCTGCAATGTTGCTGGCAACACAGGTATAATTGGCTGTATCACTTAGATCTGCATTATTAATTTGAAGGTATCTCCCTCCAGATAGGATTCGCACACGAGGTGTTGCCTAGTTCATTCAGCAAGTAAAATTCATCATTAAAATGTCAGAAAAAGAGTATAAAATATTATTTTGTAATACCAAATGTAACTACACTGAACTGTAGAGTTTCTGTCATGTTTTGTCTGCTCCCTCACCATTATTCTGGTATTAAAACCCTTAAGAACTATTTCAATCAGTGTGATTAAGGCAAGCACGCAATCAGTGCTCCTGTTTCCTCTGGCCACAATGATCTACTCAAGGGTGGACAGATAACTTGGGCTGGATCATTAGAGCCCTCCTCAGGACTGCTGATGGAAATGTTGGAGGAAAAGTCATGAATTTTTTACTGAGATGCTGGATGTAAGGATGTCAAAATTCCGGAGGCAGTCTTTGTCACCATATGGGGACAGCCTGCTCTGAATCTAAGACAAAGAAAGCAGAGTTGGAGTGGGAGAAGGAACCCAGATGCCTGATTATAAGTTCTGTTGACTGTATTTTAACTTTTAAATTTTATGTGGGCATGGCAGTGTTTTTGGCTAATGAAAATTTCCAGAGTCGATTCTTATGATTCCTTTCTCCCATGATCGTCAGTTAAGTGCTACTAACTTAATGAGCCTCCCTGTAATTTCTCTTATCAATTAGCTCTTAAATGCAAAAAGATACCTGTGTTCCAGTAGACACACAGGTAATTTATGGAGTATTTTGAGTCAAACATCTGTTTCTTGGCCTATAACCAACCACAAGCTACCCCAGTAAAGGCTGAGAGGAGAAGGCCAATTGAAAGACCCTGTACCCACTGCTACTATGATGAATAACCAGTACCCATTGCCATTGAGTTGATTCTGATTCCTAGAAACCCTACAGGACAGAGCAGAACTGCCCGATAAGGTTTCCAAGGCTGTAATCTTTATGGAAACAGACTGCCTCATCTTTCTCCTGTGGAGTGGCTGGTAGGTATGAACTACCAACCTTTTGGTTGGCAGCTGAATGCTTTAACCACTACATCACCAGAGCTCTTTGAATAACCATATTATAATGTTATTTTTGTCTTGCCTACTAGCAAAGACTTCAGAGTGTTTTGTTTTGTTTGTTTTAAAACGAATCTTTAGAAGTTAGAGAAAGATTTACCTGTAACCATTCCCCATTTTTGAGCCAAGTGATTACAGGTGGGGGCACTGCATCTGATTTGCATTCCAATGTGACTTGTCTGTTCTGTAATACAGTGAAATCCTGGGGCTCATCAGGTCCAGCAATATTAGGGGGTACTGGGTGTGAGGACAAATGCACAAAAGGCTTTCAATGAATGATATATAAAATGATCCAAATTATCATAGGCATTCAACAAATGTTGTGTCCACTGTAATAAATAAAAGCTATGCATTTAAAATATCACTTGATTAATTTATACAATAAATAGTGCAATGGTTTTACTTTACTCAGCACTTTAATATACATTAATTAGTAAAATATTTCCAACAACCAAATGAATGATAGAGTAGGTGATGTAATAACATTATTATTACCATCTGACAGGTAAATTAACTGAAGCAAAGAGAAATAAACAAAAACAAACCCATTGCCATTGAGTAGATTCTGACTCAATGCTACCCTATGGGACAGAGTAGAACTGCCCCAAAGGATTTCCAAGGCTATATATCTTTACAAAGCTGACTGTCTCATCTTTCTCCTGTAGAGTGGTTAGTGGACTTGAACCACTGACTTTTTGGTTAGCAGTGAAGTGCTTTAAGCACTGTGCCACCAATGCTTGGGATCCCTTTTCTTTCTATGCATGGTAATCATTTTCTCTGAACATCATATTTAAAACTATGAAATAATCTTAACATTTAGAAATGTATATACCTTTCTATGTGACTCTTACATGCTGAATTTACATAAAAATTAATGACCGATCTAATTTGTGTGTGTATGTTAGGGGCACCAATTAAATTCATAGCTATGGGAATGAATGTAGATCTTATGTCTAGTTGTTTTTTTTTTTTTTTTAAATGTACCTTTCCATGAATAGTAATTATCATTTCTAAATCAAAATAGTATTGGTCACTGTCTCACTGGCCCATCTTTTCTAAAGGTATTTGGCAATAAGTTTCAGAAGTCTTGAAAGTGTGGTTTTTGTGTGTGTGTGCACTTAACCAAACAAGTGTACTTACAAAAACTTAAACAAATGAATAACTAGGGGAATAGGTTAACATATATGCACACATATGTCTATAACAGTATTGTTTATATTAGTGAAAATGAAGAAATAATCTAAACAAACAAAAATAGGGAACTGAGTAAATAGACGATGACATATTAATATAATGGGACACTATATAATCACTGGGAGCTCTGGTAGCATAGTGCCTAAGGCACTTGACTGCTAACCAGAAGGCTGGCAGTTCAAACCCACCAGCCACCCCTCGGAAGGAAGATGGGGCAATCTACTTCCGTAGTGATACTGCCTCGGAAACCCAAGGAGGGGTCGCTATGAGTCGGGTCTGACTTGACGGCACCTAACAACAACAACAACATATAATCACTAAAAATGATATTATGAAATATATTTATTCACATTAAAACATTTTAATCCTACTGTTAAGTGAGAGAAAGATCAAGTTAAATACTATATGCTGAATGATCACATTTCTATGACAAAACATTTCTATGCCAAAAAATGTCATCTTTGTGTAGTGAGAGAATAGATTATTTTTGTTTTCTTTATCATTATTACATTTGCTTATTTTAAATCAATGAATATGAATTATTTATGCAGGAACAAAACAACTCAAAAACTCAAATGAACTATCCTCAAAGAACACTTGATCAGTCAAGTATAAGAATTCAATTCACAAAATACTTATTTCCTAATGTATAAACATATCCCATGATATGCAATGAAGTTACCCCCTTTTGCCTAAAGTATGGCTTCTAAGAAGATGTATGGTGGACTGCAGGAACCTTTGACAAATTTACCGTGCACTCTCACTAAATATTCTTTATCATCGTCTCCTGCGGGATTGGAGGCCAAGCAGGTATATCTTCCTGTATCCTCCACCTATAAAACCCAAACAATGAGTTAAACAATGCTTAACATATTGTTTTGGTGATGAGAATAAATATCCATGAGAATCAATTATCTCAGTTGAGAATACAAGTTCCAATGAAAAATGAGGTATCCTTAAGGAAAAATAATGACTAAAAACTTAATAAACTGATTAACACTTGTGATTAGTGCTCTGATATTGATATTGATAGATTTCCATTGTATGTGATTGAATATATTAACAGGGTTTCAGTATTTGATCTCAGAATGCTTGCATGTTAGGTATATTTAATGATCTCAGAGAAAGGCATATAATATACCTAATATCATACATGACAGACTACATATTCAATGTTTATTGAAGAAATAAGTGTTTATGGTTTTAAATTATGAATTAAAACGCACAATTGGAGGCTTCCTGAAGAAAATGAAGTACGCTTGTTAAATATAAAACAAATAAATGTCATATTATTAAAGTAAAGCACATTAATCCCACATTTTGAATATACTTTGACATACATTGTGAAATGAAAGGGCTAAAATGTAATTTGGCTGTAAATAGGTCACTATTATTATCTGACTGAAAATGGAAATATTGTTTTAAAAACCCACATGCACAGTTTCCACTGATAGTGTTAGTCTTCATCCATATGTTTCATGTTGTGTGACACAAACCATGCATATGTATGTTTAAGGTATACTCTGGAAAATAGATGATCTTACTAATGTGAAAATACCATTTTGGAAAGTAGAAAAATTCTATTTTCATTTCTTTTAATACTTGGATATTCCTAGAATACTGGGAAATTTTAAATTCTTGCATTGGAGATTGACTGTATAGGTTATAAAAAAAAACTTTATTGTGAGCTATGAAAGCTCATTCAAAAAATTAAGGCTAAAACATTTGGAAAAATACTTAACTATAATTTTAGAAGAACTTCTCTCATACAGCCCTTCATTTATGAATTAAAAATGAAACACCATTGCCTAGAGAATAATTTCTGAAATTTTCATACATTTTTTTGTGGTGGTAAAAACATACATAACAAAACTTATGCCATCTCAACAATTTCTACATTTATAATTCAGTAACATTGATTAGATTCTTCAAGTTGTGCAACCATTCTGGCTACCTTTTCTCAAATCATTCTATAACCATTAATAAATTCAGTGCTGTGTAAGCAAAAACTTCTTCATTCCTTTCCAATCCTGGTAACTACTAATAATCTTTGGCATCTATATATTTGCTTATTTCATATAAGTGTAATGCAACATCTGTCCTTTTGTGATCCACTTATTTCTCTTAGCATCCTGTTTTAATGGTTCATCCATGACGTGGTATGCATCAGGACTTCATTTTTCTTTATGGCTGAGTTGTGTTCTATTGTGTGTATTTACCACATTTTGTTGATCCATTTATCTATTGATGGGTATTTTGGTTGTTTCTACCTTTTGTCTATTGTAATCAAGTGCTGCAGTAAACACTGATGTATAGATCTTGGTTTATGTTCCTGCTTTCACTTCTTCTGAGTTTATACTTAGGATTGGAATTGCTGAGCCATACTCTAATTCTATGTTCAACTTCTCTGAGGAACTGTGAAACTCTTCCACAGCATCTGTGCCATTTTATATTCCCATCAACAATAAATGAAGGTTCCAGTTTCTCCACAACCTTGCCAACAACTGTTGTTTTCCTTTTATTTATTTTTTCCCAATGATTGCCATTTATATATGAGTAAGTTGGTATCTCATTGTGCTTTTTATATTCATTGATCTGTATCTCTATAATTGCTAATGAGGAGCTTTCATGATGTAGCAGTTAAGGCATTTGGCTGCTAATCCAAAGGTTAGTCGTTCAAACCCATCAGCCTCTCTGCAGAAGAAAGACTAGGCAGTCTACTTTGGTAAAGATTTACAGCCTTGAAAACCCAATAGGGGTTGCTATGAATTAAAATCGACACTATGACACAGTTTTTTTTTTTTTTTTTTTTAATGGCTAATGGCGTAGTGTCTAAGGCATTTGACTGCTAACCAGAAGGCAAATGGTTCAAACCCACCAACTACTCCTCAGAAGGAAGACTGGGCAATCTACGTCCATACAGATACTGCCTTGGAAACCCAAGGAGGGATCTTCATGAGTCGGATTCAACTGGACAGCAGTGAGTTTTTTGGTTGGAGTGATGTTGAGCATATTTTCATGTGCTTGTTGCTCATTTGATTATCTTGTTTGAATTGTTTGTTCAAGTCCTTAGTCTTTTTTTGACTGAGTTGTTTGTCTTTCTATTGTTGAATTGTAGAGGTTTTTAGAGTATATTTTGGATATTAGACTCTTATTAAATATATGGTTCTTGAACAATTTTTCCCAATCTATTGGTTGTCTTTTCATATTTTAAGTCCTTTGATGAGCACAAGTATTTTCTCATCATATTCTAAAACTATTAAACACTAACTCTTCTCTGCTAACCCAATGAATTACCAAAAGATATTGCCCTCTCCACTTACCTTGACTTAGCCAAACTTGAACTGTCATTTCTGGCTACCCTTAAATCCTCTCTCCTCTAAGAAATATTCCCTGTCAACTTATATCAGGATACCAGCAGTCCTTTTTTTGTAGCTACATTTTTTGAAGTGTGTTCTGTTAATAGGATTACTTATGGTCAAGCAGGTTTCATTAGAGTAAGATTTTGCATGTGTTTACATGCATCACAGCTCACAAAGAAGGGTAACACAGTATGTAAACTTTTGAAAACCTATTTGGTCACAGAATTTCTTTTCCATGGAATAAATCACAGCACTGACTAATGTTCCATTGATGACGTTTTACAAAACTCTTGTATTTGCTACACAATTTGGAATTTGCAAAGCATCCATCATGTGCCCAGCAAAACCATATGTACTGATACATAAACACACAAAAAAAAACAAAGCCCAGATACGGAAAATATGATGTCGTAAGTGGTATAACAAAGGTATGTGAAAACTGCTGTGAAAACACAGAGAAGATGAAAAAGACCACTCTTGGGACTTGATCACATTTAATTTTACACATCTATACTATATTACACTTTCCCTTGTTACCCTCCCGAGAGGGACCATGTCTCTGGGAGCAAGGTAAGCACGGGCGGGCTTGTGCTTACTCACTGATCT